ATGATTATTATTTAAATATAGTAAATAAATACAAATGGTTATTATTTATTTTTTTACGTCCAAATTTATTAAAACAATCATAAGATTATGAAACTAACCGTAACTAGCAAAGAGAAAATCTAAATTTTCAATACAAAATCCAAATTAAGCAACAAAGATAATATGAATAATGAAAAAACTCCCTAACAATTAGATACTACTACTTTTAAGCTTGTGCGATGTACGGATAAACAAATATATATATATATATAACTCAATTATATATAATATAACTAATAAATTTTATATAAAAAATAAAAAATTTCAACGTAAAATAATGGAAAAATAAAAATATTGTAGATCAATATGTACCTATATAACATAAGGAAAAAGATTTTGTATCATATCTCATCTAATAGTAATATTTGTATAAATTAAATCGTGTTTGATTCTAAAAGATAGAAATTTATTTCACTTAAAATTTTTTTTTTTGTAGAAACTTTTGCTTGGTGTTGTCCCTTACTTTGGTGCAAGATATCTAGAACTCACAATAACAACAACAAACCCTGTGAAAGGTGTTGTCCGTCATTGCATTGTATTAACAAAGGTTAAAATAGTTCTAATTGAATTTTCATTCTTTGATGAATGAGATTGAAACCATATATTACATATTAAATATAAATAAAATTATAAATAAAAGGTAACCAGGGGAGCAAAAACTTGTGCCAAATTCTAACAAACTCCAAACATAACTAAAAAATCTCACTTTGTTAACATCAATTATTAGTTATGAAGAAAAATCTAACAAAATCTCTGGCGACTAAAAATTAAAAAGAGATAAAACATATAAAATTATTCCATTCAAAGGTAAAACAAAAAACAAAAAAATAAAAATAAAAAGATACTGAAAATGAACGGATAAATAAAGCATAAACATGCATAAAAAAGTGAATAAAAAAGAAATAAAATCAACCGACAAACATGACAAAGAAAAAGTTTATGAACATAAAAAGACATATAACTCAGTGATCAAAATTTTCTTCATCATAATGAAATCAATACATTTGGAGGCTTTGGAAGAATAACCTCTTAGTGCTCTTAGTATACATGATTCTCTATTTATAATAAGAATTTGAGAGACTTTTATAAATTAAGAGTAATTTATGCAAAAAAAATTATAATGGATTATTAATTATCTATATAATATATATTTTATTTTGAAAAGTCGACACTTAATATTTTGAAAAATTCTTGTTAGGCAATAAATTATACTAATTGTAATTAATACTTATAAAGAAATAAATATGAAAATATGCTTCCAACTAATTAGACTTTTATTTTAGGTTTGAATTTTTAGCATTATCTGCCTTATATATTCATTTAGGTTAATAAATACTAAAATCATGGTCATTAAATAGTCATTGCTTTCAAAGCATATTTCTTATTTATAGTATAAATATTTGATGTTTAAAATAAAAATTGAATTTGGTCAGAAATGATTTAAGATAATTTAATTGTAACTCATTTATAAAAGGCAAGAATATTGAATATTTATAAGAAAAATAAATAACCTAATTTAGCCAAATAAATATCTTTTAAATTAATAAAATGTATACGAAGTCAAATTGAAATAATTAAATGCAAGATACATGGTGATTGTTCAAAATAATCCACATGTCAAAAAAATAAATTATTCACATTGGATTTTTTCTTCTTTTTTTACCAAAATTTTGATTTTTATATATTTATATAAGATGTATGATTAAAGATATTTTATTAGGAATAAAAGGTAAGTTAATCGAAAATTTAAAAGAAAATAAATATAATTAATGCATTGAAATATTTTAAAATTTTTATGAAATCAAATCAATGTATATCAATTTGAAGAGAAATAAATATGAATAAATATATTTAATACAGGACACGTGGTGATTGATAAAAATTGTTCACATGTCAATATTATAAGTCATCTGCATTGAATAATTTTTTTTTGTCAAAAATTTTAACTTTTATATATTTATATAAGATATGAAAAAAAAAAGCAAAATTTCAAGTCATAACACAGATTTCATCAAACATAAATGGTGATGTTAAATATTTAGCTCGATGCAAAATTTAAATCTATTCTCGATAAACCCATCAAGCTGATAATTTTGCAAACTTCAACAATTTTCTTTGGCTAAATTATGTTTTAGCAAGCTCAGAGTCAGAAGAATTGTTTGGTTTAGAATAAATAAAGAAGAAAGCAACTAAAGTGGGGAGAAAAAAAAAAGACCAGCAAAGCTTGCTTGAAATCAAATCTTAAAAGATAAAAACCACACAAAGCTTATTTGTGGGAGTTGTCTGGAAAAACTTATTTGTGGGAGAAATTTTCAATTAGTGTTTAGGTTGTTCTATTTATTTGGTTAAAGTCATTGATGTTAGGCAGGTTTACTGGCTGTTTAAGAGAGGTCGTATTAGAATGATTTTCACAATAAATGAAAGTATATTGATCAAGTAAGAATCTTAATTAAAGAGAAATTTGTTAGAGTTATAAAATAGCTCAAGACAAGTTCGTCAATCTTTAGACACAAAAGAATAAATTGTTCATGGTTTCAGGAAGAAAGAAAAGCTTCTATTTAGAAAATACACTGGGACAGTCGGATGCTTGGTAAAAGCCAAGGCAATCGACTACATTGCCTGGAAAAGGTTTTTTTTTGTTTTTTTTCATAAATATACTAGGGTTGTAGGATGACTTACATAGGGAAGTCAACTGTCCTACTTGATAAATGTTTTTATTGTAAAATAACACTAAAATAGATGAATGTACAAATATTGCATTCGATTGCCCTTGTATGAACAAATGTATTTTTGAAAAATAAAAATTAGTTTCTCTTCAAATGACATTTATTCATCATAAAATATTTTTTTCACTAATGAAAGATTGATAATTACAATTATAGTTTTTTAAAGAGATGTTTTCTTAATTAGATGAAATGATTGTTTATTGAAAACAACATAATCATAGCGTCAAAATATTTGAATTTAATCTCTATAAATTAAGATGAAAAAATATATTTAAAAGATCTAAAACACTTGATAATTAAATGTTGATGTTGCATTCTCTCATTTAGGAGAGCTACTAACCATTAAGGGAATTTGTTTGATAAAGAAAACAAGTAATAGTTAAAAGAAATAAGAAAAAATAATTTGATATATTATTATTGAAGTTTTTTAACTTTACAAATAAAATTAAAAAATTGACACACTATTTGGTCCGATCTAAAAAGGGGTGTACTAGGCAAAATTTAAGAATTCTTTGATGCAAAACAAAAATTAACACATATCTCACAACTTTTTTTAATTAGTTTTACCTAAGAGTTATGTTTCACCTCTACTTATAAAGTAAAAATTATGCTATCAATATATCAAATAATTCCTCAGAAATAATATTTTTTTTTTTATAAATTGATATCTTAACAAAACATTGGATAACATCAACCTATACTCCTTTTAAAAGGTTGCTTGGAATTCAAATATATTTTTCGGACTTTCCATTTCAATTGTTAAAAGGGTTAATATCATGAATGGTTCATAAATTATAATAAATTATTTAATATAATATCTAAATTTTAAAAATATTTAATGTTATACTCGAAATATAAATTATTAACTAATGTGGTATTTACCTCTAATATAATTAACTTCAAATGATGATACATGATAAATAAATAATTTTTTAAATATTATATTACTTAATAAATTTATAATTTAAATATCATATTATAAATTTTTAAATTTTAAATATTATATTAAATATTTTACTATAATTTAATAAGATTAACCTTAATTAAAAACGCAAAAAATCCTCAAAGAAGAAAGGAAAGTAGGTGGACTGAGACCAACTTTATAATTATACAAATATAGGTTTAGTTGGATGTAGGCCCAATATTGAGTTAAACCAGAGGCTGAGCTTTTGTCACCATCTAAACGGGCGTTGATTTTTGTTTAGGTCAGAAATCTAGTCCACTTCGATTGCCAAGTTGGGTTTAAAATCGGCCCAATTTTATAACGATATGTTTTTTTTTTTTAATTTTATTATTTATAAAAAATTATTTTCGTTTGTAAAATTTTAAAATTTCATCGTAATCCATAAAATGTAATCCAAATATAATATTGTATTTTAAGTTTCTAACTTGAAAAAGTTAGATTAATCTCTTTCTCCCAAAATTACAAATTTTTTTAGAAAAATATATGAGAAAATTTTTTTTCAAATATCATCTTGGATTAAGCACAATTGTTTAAAAATGTTTAAAATCTCAGATTTATTTCTGAGTTTTTTCTTTTAAATTCATAATAATAAAATGAAACTATGGAGTAAAAGGCTATTAACCAATTTTTTTATTATTAATTATTTATTATTTTTGAATTTTTTATAATGAAATATTGGTATTTATTATTTTTAAAAGAGAAAAATATATATTTGAGCTTAAAGTCAAGAAAAATCTAACGGACTTTTCGGAGGACGGACAAAGACTGGTAGGTTGGGTCCAAAACCACGTCAAATCTTCTTAAAAAGTCCACATCCATCTTTATCTAGCAATGTTAATTTTATTCGTAATACAGAATTCGTTTTTTTTACATGGAAAGAAATATTGTATCATGTGTACGAAGGAATTTAATTTTAAATTTTAATTAAATATGAAAATAAAGACAAGTAATATAATATAATATCACTTTATATCTATATCTTATATATATTTTTATATATTTAATAAATAAATTTTTTTATTAATTAATATAGATTATTATTTTAAATTAATTAAAATTAATATATTTTTATTTAAAAAATTTAAATGTATTAATAAAAAAATTATTTGAATATACAAAATAAAAATAAAAAACAAATTTTTAATTTTTTTTTTTTAAATTACAAATATAAAAATTACTATGCTCGTTAAATATCCTTAAAAAAGAGATAAAGATATATATAACATACCGATTCGGTATAGAGCCGAAAAAAAATATAATATAAAAATTAAATATAATTAAAAAGTCCAGGCTACCCTCCTTCGTTGGCATCCCTAAACTTGTCGTGTTTTCTTCTTCGTCCGAACAAAAATAATAGTAATAAAAATTTCCCCATTTATCTCTCTTTCTTCCAACTCCATAACCCTACAAAATCCTCAAAAAGAAAAAAAAAAAAAAAGTTAAACCTCATTACATCGATTGATCGGGCGGGGAGATAAGAAAAGAAACGACATGTCGTGGTTGAGAACGGCGGTGAACAAAGCGGTGGAGGTTGGGAACAAGAATAACCTCACTCGAAACATCAAGAACTATGCGGATACCGTTGTTCATCATGCCGGTCAAGCTGTCGCTGAAGGAGCCAAACTCTTTCAAGATCGCATTGTAATTTCTATCTTTTTCTTCATTTTTTATTTTTATTATTAGTACTATTTATTTGAGTATTGAGGTGTTGAGGCTGAATGTTAGTTACTTTGAAAGGTTTGCATTTGATTTTTTTAAAATTTTGGAATTTTGGGGTAATTTTTTAAGAAACTTCTTTGTTGTTTTTAAATTGCATGATTGTTAGATTTTAGTGTTTCAGTTCATCTTCGTTTTCAATTGCTTGTGGTTTTTGGTGGTTCAATTAGAGAATAATGAAATATGTCTAATAATGTCAAAGAAGGCATTCTTTACAAAAATCAACGAAATTGGATTATAATTGGATTATAATTTCACAAATGCGTCTATTTGACAGAATGAATTATTTTTCTATACACTGAGGCCCTATAACCATATTACTTTTTTTTTTTTTTGTGTAACTTTAATAGGCTTCTGTGATTTCCTTTTCAAGTAATGGTGCTAGGAAGAGAATATTTTGATCTAATGTCAAATGTGACATGTAACCTAGGATTAATTTAGAGCTTGCTGATCTATTTGGTTATCATATTAAAAACAGCTAGAAATTCATTATCTTGATTTAAACTTACTACTAGATTTTGTTCCGTTTATTTATAGAAGTTTTTTTTTTTTTATGCTGTTGTGGTTGTCTTATAATATTTTATTGGACTTGCTTAAGCTGCATCCTTATGCAGGGGTCTAGGAGTCTCAAGAGTGGAAAGCAAACTGTGAAAAGATTGGAGGAAACAGCAACCTCTTGTAGGGGTTCTGAGAGAGTTATGCTGCTGAGAAGATGGTTGGTTGCTCTCAAAGAAATAGAGAAGTTATCTGGAGCTTCATCTGAAGGCAGTCAAAAGAGCCTTGAGCAAATTCTTACTTCTGAAGATGCAAAGGAGAACCCAAAAAGACCATCTACGGTGAGCTATTCCTGTATGTTAACGATAACCAAATTATATGCAACGGCTTATTTGTTAATTATTCATGCCTTGCTTTACTTATTGAGTTGTAAATGATATGTTTTAGTTAATGTCCGCTCAACAAGAGGATTAGGTAGGTTTAATTTTGTTAAAGTGTATTGTTGTTAGCTGGTTTTGAAACTAATGCCTTCGATTGATTGTTGTGTGCCTTCAATAATTTGAAGTGTTAAAAAATGCTTCATTTCATTTAAGTTTCTTGCATCCTGACTTTCTCTTTCTTTTTTCCTTTTTTTTTTTGTTCTCTTTATTGATTGGTAGGTCTTGTATTATGACTCTGATGTTGGTGGTGCACCAATGAATTTTCGAGAAGTTTTTCTTCATAGCCAGGCTTTGGAGGGCATAACAATATCTATGGTATGATTTGCTATCTTGGTCATTTGTTCATATTTTCTTTTTAATCTGAATTTGTCAAGATACAGTAGAATCTTGAATATATCATATACCTTTTTAAACATTTATTTCTATGCTTTGCTAGTGTAGCTTTTGACTAATTTTGTAGAGGATTAGGCATGCGATGAAGGGTTTAGAAAAGTTAATGTTTCAGGTGTGATCATTCTGCATATAGATCTTGCCTTCAAAAATGATAAAATAAACAATCAAGATAGATTATTTAAATAAAGAAAGATAGAAATTAGCATTTTATCATGAACCTGATGAAGTTTTTTAACATTTTCTATTGCTAACTGAATTATGTTCCAAACAAAAACAAATAAATACCTAGGTCCAGGACTTCATAGATCCAGGGTTATAATGGCTTTATTGGAAATTGTCCTTAGTCTAAAGTTTTATGCAAGAAGTGGAGTGTTACTCTTTAAATGTTGTCTAAGATCATTGAGTTACTATCAAGCTTGGTAAATTGCAAGGCTGCTCCAAGCCCTTTTATACCTTACACTATCAAAACAATCTAGTTTTCATTAAATAAAATGGGTTAGTGAGAATTAGGAAATAAATAAGATGATACAGATAAGAAACTTTAGGGCTCACATTTACTGACGTCAATATGACAGTATGTCATGGTTTCATTATTTAGTTAAATATCATAAAGTAGAAATTTTGGTGATTGAATCATGTTCGAAAAACATTATCAGAAAGCTTTGAGTTTGTTGTGTTTTTATCAAATTTGAGTACATTTAAGTTGTTTATAGATATGTTACTTTTTCTGCTCGAGTATCATGACCGTCTTCATGTAAGTTTAATTTTCTGAAATTTTCATCTAATCATGTTCTGGATTTGGAGATATTTTTGTCATTATTTGATAACCTTAATGATTTAACATTATGACAGAAAGAACTTCTTGTTTCTAATGCAACTTTTCTAGTGAACTTTTATGTCGTTGGAATTTCTGATAATTGAGGTTAACGCAGGTTAAACCTTTTCTGTGATTCAGATTCTTGAAGCACCAAATGATGAAGAAATTTCTCTGCTCCTGGAGATGTTCAGGTAAGTCCTGTCCTCTCACTTTATGACTATTGCTTTATTATAGCTGGGGACACCAACATTTAGGGTTTTCCAGATTTAATTAAATCCATTCTCATTGAATGTGTTGAAAAAAAGATGTTATTTTTCCTGCCATCATAGATTTTACAATTGATTGCTTCTAACATACTTGCTGAATGATGTCAGTTTCTGCATCTTCTTGTAGGTTTTGTTTGATTATGTGAGACTAATAATTTATTATTACGAATATTTAGCCTTAAACTTAAATTGGATTTGGAAATGTCCTTTAATTGTAGAATAATACTTGCAGGCTCTGCCTCACTGGAGGAAAAGAAGTTCATAATGCGATAGTGAGCAGTGTACAAGATTTAGCTACTGCTTTTTCTAGCTACCAAGATGAAGTGCTGGTAATTAGTCAAACCCGTGCTACTTTCTCAATGCAATTTATTTAGGAAGATTCACATTTAAGATTCTTTCGTATTTTTTCCCAAACTTTTCAAATGTGGGAATATATAGGTGAAGCGGGAGGAACTGCTTCAATTTGCACAAAGTGCCATAACAGGGTTGAAAATCAATGCCGATCTTGTAAGGTAGTTCAAAAACAAAGAGCTTCCATTTCCTGCCTTTCAGCCTTTTTGTAATGTGTACACTTTCCTGTCTTGTTTTCTGTACTTTGAGTTTTCTGCTTATGTTTGTGATAATGCTGAAATCTTGTGTTTTGGGCCGCTAAATGTTTCTGTTAGGCCTGAATAAAATTTACATTTGATCATAATTTGCACATGCCCAAATTGCATTTATGTGATAAATCTACTTGATCATCTTATTTTAATAAAGTAGGAATGTTCTCCTATCATGTTTTTTGGTTCATATTGTTGTGCAGCCACCTTGTTTGCCAGAATATTTTAGTATTTTGAAGTGCAAAGTGCTTGATTGTTTATGCTTACTGAAGCAGGAGAAATTAACCTTTCTTTTTCTTTGATCTGCTTTCCAATGACAGAATGGATATTGAAGCTTCTGATCTCAAGAAAGAACTCAATCAGATGAGTGCTTCCCAGAAACTTCCAGAAGTTCATGATCATACATCTGAAAAGACAACTACAGCGACTATTGAGGTGAGCAGTGAGCTTTATTTGAATTATGGCAACATTTGCTTATCCTTTTTGTGCTAGTTTTGAAGGCATAGAGTGTTATGTATTAAGTAAAAAAATCTAGTCTAAAATCAAGGAAACAATTTTTGAAATTCCTGTTAAGTTGTTAATCTATGACAAAAGAATCATATTGCTGGTATGACATTAAATTGTTTCATTTTGCTCTTTTATCTTGCAATTGCTTGATGCTAATTATTTCTTTTTTGTTGAGGTTGGTCATGTTTATAGTCCTTTAAGAAATCACAAATCAAATAAACCGTTGTCACTAGACAAAGCTGCACCAAAATGAAGTTGAAATACTGGGAGTTTCTTACAGAAATAAAATGTTAATTGGTATTCCTTTGCCACAAAATGATATATTCTTTTGGTTTTTTCAAGACTATTATCTTTTCACTCTTGTTTTATCTATTTTGTGTTGCTTCTGTTCTTATTCTTGTTTCAAATCACTTTAATTTCCTAGGCGCATGGTGATATTCTTATCATTTCTTTATACGGTTGGCTTTTATCTGATTAGCTCTCTCATTTTGGTGCATCTTGATAACTCATACCAGCTTAGGCTGACAGTTGAGATAAGAAAATTTTGAAGGTCTGCTGAGAGCCATTATCTATAGACTAAAATATAGCTTAAGTATGTCTAGTCCGCACATTTGATAACCTTCTACCTTTTTATGATATCTAATTAGATTGGCTCTTGTCCACAGTTTGAAATCAAGTCGATAAGGCCTACTGCTCCCTAGGAAAAATATAAAAACAAAATTATGGTTTACTGAAGCTACTCATGTTTTAATTCACAAGCTGCTTATCTATAACTAGTGACTTGTACCATGGCTATGTCTCCCCTATAACAGATGTTAAACTTCCTAATATTTTCCCCCAAAAAGAAAATATGAAAGTTGACCACCCTATCTTTATGGTAGGCTCTTAAAGAAGCACTTGCACAAATACGAATCTGTTCCACACTGGAAGGAATTTTGCTGAAAAAGAAGTCTCTAAACAATGGAGACTCTCCTGAGATTCATGCACAAAAGGTATGAACATTCTTGCTATTTGGTTGTTTCTGGTTATGTTTTAATAAGCATGAATATGTATATGCAACCTGCTTTTTATTAAAAGTTTGCTTCCTCTATCTAAAATGTATCATTCAGGATATATCACCTTTTTGTCATTCAAGCTAAAAGTTTTGAAAAAAGGATGAGTGTCTGTTTTAGCAAATTTAGCATTTTGTGGGGACTTTTTTTTTACATTAGCTGCATTATGTTGTTATTTGAGCAGGTTGATAAGTTGAAAGTCTTATCAGAATCTCTTGCCAACTCTAGTGCAAAAGCTGAGAAACGCATTTCAGATCATAGGTATGCTAAGAATCTTATAGAGTTGTTCTAAATAATATTTGATTTTACCAAAGCTGTTACTCTAGATAAAAATTAACAGCTGCTTTTTTATGTAATACATTGTGTTAACTAGGGGTATAATCGATCGAGTTCAAGCTGATATAGTATTAAGCTTGAGCTCGAGCTCGATTCAAAATTCGAGGCTTGAAACTCGACTCGAACTTAATCAAGTTTTATTTTTCTAACTCGAGCTCGACTCAAGATAGAAATCGAGCTACTCGAGCTCGTTCGATTAGGCCTGATTAATATGTAAAAATAAGCTCGATTCTTATATTTGACAAAAGCTTGATTATTTGTGCTCGAACTTTAGCTCGAGTTTGAGATATTTTATTAATTAAAATAATAAAAATATATTTAAATATAAAACTCAATTAAGCTCGTGAGCTACTCGAGCCGGGTGTAAGAATGCTCGAACTCAGCTCAATTGATGAGTCGAGCTACTCAAGCTCGAGCTTGACTCAATAATAATCGAGCCAAATTCGAGTTTTATTCGAATCGAATCCGAGTAGCTTGCGAGTACTAATGTATCATTTACACTCCTAGTGTTAGCCAATTGAGTTTCTTTTTTTACATTTAAATATCTCATAAGTTACTTTTATTTTTTGATAAGAAAAATTGCATCCATTTCTTTTCGGTGCTGAAATTGTAAAATGCAGTGCTACTTTTTTTATATAGCTCATATTTGAATTTTTTGAGAAAGTGAAGCATTGTTCTGAATAGCCAGAATTCATGGTTGCTTTAAAGGATATCTGCTGAACTGTTTGGTGCGGTTATATATTTCTTATTTGACCTGTGACCAAAATTTCCCTCCTGTTGCTTTTGTTTATCATTCATGATGAAAAGGCTAGTCTTGGGTTGCCAATGCTAATTGGTAAATGTTGTTTCAAGAGATCACAACCTGTTTCTGGTGGTTTCTTAGGATGCTTGCCTGGATTTTTCTACTTATACTTTAGAGGATATCTGAATTCTGGATGAAATCCTTGAAGCAACAACATTAAAGCAAGATATACTGCAATCTGAAGTCTCCTTATAACTGATTCTGAAGTTTATTAGGATTATACAAATATTTATCCAATAAAAAGTATTCATTGCATATGAACTGGTCATTGGTTTTGTTATTGGCAGACTTCAGAAGGAGGAGGCCCTAACTGTTCGTGTGGCCAGAGCAAGTGAAGCTGATGGAAGAGAGAAGGTTGTTTACTTGTGCTGATGTGTTACCCTTGTCTGCACTGCTAGATTAGAAAGGAAATCTTATCTTGCAATTTTAGATTAGAATGCAAGATTTGATTGCTAGAAGTCGTCTCTGGAGTCTGATAGCTAGTCGTTTTCTTTCTGTCTATAATCAAATGCATTATCAAAATCATGACTGGCTTAGTGAGGTCTGCTGGGGAAGATTTTTACTATACTTCTGATCCTACAGTGTCTGCCTATTCAGTGCCTTTAACTAGTTGATGACCTTGGCAGGTTTGTATTGGAACATATCAAATAATTTCCTGGATTATTTTCTCTGAAACTGGCATACAAAGGAATAATTCCATATTTTCATGATTTCTTGTGCCATGATACTGCATAGCGGTAATTTAGTTTTGATTAGGTGGTGTCATAAGCTGTTCAAATTTCAAAAAGTCCCCTAGGGGACATTTTTAACGGTTAGAACATGAGACTCCACCCTGGAGGTTGTTGCATTTTGAGGATGGGAGAGGGCTACCTCCATTCATGTAGCCTAAGGAGTAAGGCCAATGCGTGCCCTTATATACCAAAGAAATATATACACTATAAAAATTTTTTTTAAAAGTTAAATCTTTGAGGTTTATTTATTCATTTTTGACTAAGCTTTAATTAGAACAATGAAGCCATGCAAAGTCTGAGCAATTCAGCATGTGAGTTTTGATGTAATTTACTTGTTTTGGATGGGAAATCTGAAATTTTCTTCTAATGAACAATATCCAGGAAATAGTAGCTGAGATTTCAGAACTTGAGAATCAAAGAGATGAACTTGAAGCGGAGCTGAAAAAGGTCTTTCTACTGCATTCTGTTTCTACTTGTTTCTTACATGTTGGAAAACCTATACAGCTTCTGGAATGTGTTTTGCATGTTTGATTCTGATTTATTTTGGATAATTAATATTTTATTCATCCAAAAAAGCAGAGTTCTGCTACAAAAAATAATTTTTACAAATATTTAACAATGAAAAAAGAAATAAAAATTAATCTAACATTCTTTCATCAAGATTCCAACTATGACAAAGAAACCTGTTGATGGAATTATTGGACAAATGTCATGTACAATGTAGCCAGTAGCTCACAGCTTCCTTCACGAACTGCAAGATGGAGTTGCTACGACCATTCTGCTTACCAAATACCCTTTTATTTTGTATCCAACCAGATACCATGTTTAAAAGCATTCCAAGTGATTTTAAGGATTATAGCCAAAAGGGATTTACCTTTGAAATTAGATGATCCAAAGGAATTCATTGTGCCAAACAGTGGACCGGCCTTTGTATCCCACATAATTGGAGTACCTGTAACCATATTTGTTTAGTGTACATACATGTGAAGCATAGGTGATCCCTGGATTAAATTTCCTGATTACAGTATATGCAGTTGGGGTTTGTTTGAATACCCTATTTGCAGTCTTTGTTTAGTGGGAAGTTTATCAAGAATTACCGTTGTATGTTTGATTCTGATTACCTACGTGTATAATGTATTGTTCCCTCATTTTACTTTTAACTTTATAATTTTTGTTTCTTTTGTTCAGCATTCTTATACTTATTGATGTTGTTGGCGATGACAGTATGCTTTACTGAAGCAGATCTTTTGTGTATATATTTGTATTTTGGGGGTGAGCGGTTAAGTTATAAGTTACTAAAGCTAGTAAATCAGACAACTATGAAAGATTTAAGAATGATTTATATGTTTATTTCATTGCACCACTTAAACCTGTTTTTATTAAGTATCATTTGTTGCACTTGATTGGTAATCAATGGATATTATTCCAATTATGAAGTAGTAGAGCTCCCATATAACCATGCAAATGAGGCAGCTTGAAAAACCTTTAGGTTTTAAACCTCCATTGAATTCATGCTATAGATAGTTCTATCTGTGTTTAACTACTTTTTGTATAAAAGGTGGATTCTGTCCCATTACCTTTTTGGTGAAATATGGTGTAGGTTAATATCTCATTGGCTGCTGCTAATGCTCGCCTACGCAATGTAAAGGAAGAAAGGGATCAATTTGACAAAGCTAACAATCAGATTATTGCCCATTTGAAAACAAAGGTGTGTTTTTTTTCTTCCTAATTTCCATATTATTTGTATACAGCTATAATATTCTTCATAATTTTATGGGCTGTTATATGGTTCAAATATCTGAGAAGTCTCTCTGCTTTGTTATCAGGAAGATGAACTGTCAAAGTCCATTTCTGCATGTAGAGCAGAAGCAGAAGTTCTTCATACATGGATTAATTTCTTGGAAGATACTTGGCTCCTCCAGTCCTCGTATGCAGAAACTAAGAACAAGATAGTCAAGTATGTAATCTTTTCTTTCGTTGTGTGCAACAATTATGTTTTTAATTATCTTCCTTTACTGAATCTGTTTTTTAAATTATCTGCATTGAAGAAAGAAAATATTATGAATTCTGCTCTTAATTCTATAAATTGAAAACTTTCAATACTGGGTTTGTTTATGTTTTGGTTGATACTCTTTTTTCATTTTCCAGTGAGGAATTGGAGCAACATGAGGATTATTTTGTGAACATGGCCATCACACTTCTATCTGCTTACAAGGTATTCAACACATTCCATTGGAAGAAATACTTAGCTTGAGAACCTAAAAGTTATGATTAAGTCTTGCTGTAATTCTTTCTCTCTTTCTCTCACGTGTTCTTCTTGGAATCTTTGTACACTTTTGCAGAAGGAGCTGGGCCCTTCCATTAGCCATATTGGGAAATTTGTAGAGAACCTGAAGAAGTTGAGTGAGAGGTAATCTGTATTTTTTGACATAAATAATACAGAACCTATTTTATTGCAATTTCTAATTCTTTTCACCTGGAAAGACAGATCAGAGATGATATCTAGCCCAAGTAATGAGGATTCCAAAGAATTAAACCCGAGTAAACATCTTGAGGAAGAATATTTGGATTATGAAGCCAAGGTACAAATGTCATTGCTTTTATTCTTCAAAAGGTTTCGACAAAAGATATTTAGTTTATCATGCATGCCTTGAGTTGCCGTTATCTAGCACTTACACCCCACTGATGCAGATTTTTACTCTCCCCTTTTTTCATTCTTTGATTCTTTCTCTTTTAGTGATTTTTGCAACAACCAAAATCCATATTGCTTAGTCTTTGTTTTTTTAACTAGTTAATCCCAGGTTTTTCTAATTCCAAATTTTAAGGTTAAGAGATTTGTGAATCTAGAATTTATAGCTGTGTTAGCTTATTTATTAGATGGTCTCTAAAAGGTGCCTGGTTATAGAGCCATCTATTTACTGGTTCCTTGTTTCAGATTATAACCACCTTCAGTGTGGTGGATAACATGAAAGAGCAGTTTTATGCTCAGCATGGGACAATTTCAAGGTCAGATAAATACATTTTGCATGCAAATCCATCAGTTCCTTGTGCACTCAAATCCCCTGTAAATGACATCTTCCTGTCTCCTATCCAGGAAGGATGACCCCAAGGTTAAAGAGCTATTTGATGACATTGAAAAGTTAAGAGTGGAATTTGAGTCTGTTGAAAGGCCAATTTTACATATGGAGACTCCAAAAGATGATACTCCTACTGAGAAGCTGCAGGAAACTTCATCTCCACGCCCAACTCTGGAATTAACACAACCCAAACCTGACACAAAGGAGAATCCAGAAACACAGCGGCTGCTAGACCCTGCAGCAGAACTGGCAAAGCTTGAGTCTGAGTTTGGGAAGGTTGGCCGAGACTACTCAACAGAGGAGATAGGTGATTGGGAGTTTGATGAACTTGAAAGGGAGTTGAGATCTGGTGATTCTGCATCAGGCAAATAAATCAGATAAAATTAACCTTGTCTCAAGTAAAAAATATCTAAAAATATATGGGCAAGCATGTGTACTAGTATGACATGTATCAATAACTACCTGTCAAAAAGCATCATTTTAGAAACAAGCACTCTGCTTTAACTTTTGTGAACATTGGATGGCGTTTCAATTTTTTCATTCTTCTGTAAATACTTCCAACCTGTAATATGTAATTTATGAAAAACATGAATCAGTATGGGTGATGAATCCCAGGGTAATTTCTCAAGCCTTCGTCTTCCCCATCGTAGCCTCAAAACATTGCTTATTTGATTCGAAGTGGATGGAGGATCGATATTGATCATCATCACCAGAAAAAGGAAAATGATTATATGTTGCTGTACATGACAAGTCCCTACCTTGAAAGAACAGATGGATGAACAAGGAGGATGTAGGGTTTTGAAAGCTTTGGTGATTTTGGTGAAAATAATGGTGAACCCCATGAAAAGAACATTAGCTGTATTGAAAAGGTTTCCTGATATAGAAGTTCTTATTGTCTTATCTTTAGAATAGCAACATTATTTTGCAGGGACCTTCAATGCTTACAACACGAGGGAACAAAAGTTAGTGGGAGGGGAGTTCCCACCCCCACCCCCCAACCCCCAAAAAAAAAAAATCTCTTCCAAAATGCAGATGGAAAACAACTTAGAAAAGAGGTTTTTGCTAGCAACTGTATCGTTGCTGTTGCAGAGTTTTTATTTGCTTTTGCTGGTGCTGGTGGGATACCCGGCAACGGTGTCCCTCCGGTCAAACTTGAAGAAGGCTCTACTTTGTCAATCCCTCCACCAATCAAAGCTCCCTGGAACCCTCATTTTCTGGGTGGAGGGTCACTTGGACTAATACATCTATCGCTGTCCTTTGCTCATACTTTCCCGATTGTCGGGAGCAACTTCCATTTCTTGGTTCGATCCTTGACATAGCTGAACAAAATCATCTCTCTCCTTAATCTTTATATCATCTATGTAAACTCCAAAATGATAATGGTGATGGATAAAAGTACTTTCAATAAAATTTTAGTTTTTAAAATATTAAAAATGAGTGATTAAAATATTTTCATAAAATTTTTAATAAATTTTAATTTAAATTTTTTTATTATTAAATTGTCATTTATTAAATTTTTAATAAATTTTAATTTAAGTGATTTTTTATTATTACTAACTTTTTTCATATAAAATAAAAATATTGATCAATAACAGTTGATTTTTTTTTTAGTCTGCTTAATTAATTAGCGGTCATTCAATAGCATTTTTTTCTTATTTTTGTTGTTTCTTTCTTCATTGTTATAAATAATTAATAATTTAATATGCAGGTAAGATCAACACAAAGTTTAATTTGGCAGAAAACCTTGATTTGATATCATAAAATTTTAGTCATGCTTTTTTATAAGCAAACAAAATATTAAAACAGTATAAATATCAATACATGATCAAATTTGGCACTGCTTGCTTTATTTTTTTTATAATTCTATTATAATTTGTTGTTATGTTTTAGAAGTAATCGAATATGCACGTGTTTTTTTTTTATTATTTTAATAATTTCGTTATTAGCTTTCATTTCATATTGAATTTGTTGGAATTAAAAAAAAAAAAAGTGTATCCTACAATTAAAATAAAGGTTTGATGAAAAATCTATCTTTAAGCACATATTCTTTTTATTATTTGTTCCTACTTTATATACTTATTTTTATATATAGTTAAATTTATTTAAAAAGTTAGATAAATTCATTATTAAATTATATCACTAAATCTTAAGATACATATAGAATATATAACTAACATAGAAGACTTTTTAGTCATATTGTAATGTGCTTATGACTAACATGGATTGTTGAGATCAAAACCAATTAATAAAATTGAAAGTGAATTTATTGTTTTTTTCAAAACAAATAAATGTAGTTATTTCCTAATTTTTAAAAGTGTGAAATCCGAAAGTATTAAAAGCAATTATTTAGATTTTTTAATGAATTTTTAAATTAATAAAAATATCTTTAAATATATATAACTTTTATTAATTTATTTAAGTTTAATTTAAATCAACTAAAATTAAAAGTAGGTTCATGTGAAATTAATTTAGTAAAAACTTTAAAATTTTAATTTCAAAGATGTTAAAAATGATTGACTAAAAAAACTTTAGTAAATTTTTTATAAATTTTAATTTAAATGAATTGTCTTTTTTATTATTATACTCTTTTTTATAATAAAAATAAAAAATGCTAAAAGTGATTTTTTTTTACCATAAACTAAAAGTGCTTAACTAAAATACTCTTAATAAAATTTTAATTTAATAAATGTTAAAAGTAATTGACTAAATACCATTAGTAAATTACTTTTTATAAATTTTAATTGAAATGAATTTTTTTTTAATTAGACTCATATTACAACACAAAATATTATTTTCACATCAAACAAAAATACAAATAGAACATGATTAAAACTTATTAGTGTGCATGGCAATAAGACAATTATAATTATTATAAAAATAATTGCACGTGTAATTTATGTTAATAAATAATTCATTAAAGATAATCATAATTAAGTCATTGAAATATATTTGTTTTTTTTCCAATTTTTTGTCTTTCAATTTTTTGTTTTAATTAGTTTGCTAACTACATATGTATGTTAATGATTTTATTATTTGCATATTTTATGAGTTGATCATTTGATCATTTTTTAGTACAAATCACTTGATCATTGATAATATAATTAAATCCTTTTAGTCACTTAAAATAATTGTTAATATACATTATTCTTATAGTTTAACCTAACTTCTATATTTAATTTATTTTTTATATTTTTTTCTTCCAAAATTTTCTAATTGTTATTTTCATGAACAAAAACTAATATCAAATTAAATACAAATCAATTGCACCCACCTTTCACCAATAATTAATACTATGTAATTCATTGAACATTTTAAATACTTTAATTGGACTTCCATCTTATATAATTATATGATTCAAGAGGTGATGGAGTTACCAATAACTCAAGACCAAATTGCAATAAGAATTATTCCATTTGACTATTTTTATCTCAAGATGATTTAATATTTCTCAATTGTATTAAATTACTCACTTTTGTTTGTCATCCATGTGGTTCAAAGCCTTAACTTGAATTATTCTAAATAGAAAATTATCAAGTGAAGTACAATTAATTAGGTAATGTTACATTTTTTGCACCTGTCAATGTTACATTCATTCATGAAAATTTATGTTGTTAAATACTAAAAATTAAATCATTATAAATTGTATAGGTGCTACATTGAGAATTAGAATTTCCTTAAGAAAAAACATGACAAGTACCAAGGTTAGGAATTTATTTTGTTTCATTTTAATTTCTAAAATTATTTATTTTAATATTTGTATACAATAAAAAATTTCAAATAAATGAAAAAAATAAGTTTTCAATTGATAGAGTGTACTATTACATTTAATCAAAGAAAGCACCAACAAAAATTATGCCAAACAAAAAATGAAACAAAAGATTGATTGGTTATATATAACTTTATCTTTTTCATATGATAAATGAGGTTAGTGCTATATGATATTTCATTGAAGAATATATTATTGTATTGATTTCAATTTTTTTTAGGATTAATATAAAACTCTTTTATTAAGAGAAATATTATATATTTCTCCATTTTCTGCATTATATTAGTTGAATAATGTTCACTATTGTACCAAAATTTTTAAGGTTACTATATTAAGTAATATTTGTTCAAAGACATTCAAATTCATCACATTAATTATTGCATTACATTTAATACAAAAATATTAGGCTAAAACAACAAAAATCTTTGAACTTTATCACTTTATTTAGATAAGCTCTTATAATTTTATTATATCTAAATAAACTTTTAACCTTTAATTTACACGTAAATAAATCTGTAAGCTTTAATTTATACTCAAATAAGCCCTTAATCTGGAATTTGTATCTAAATCAATCCTTCACATAAATCAATCTTTGGTGTGAAATAAAAAGCTTATTTGAATTCAAGTCAAAAGATAATAGCTTATTTAGGTACAATAAAAATGTAATAATTTATTTAAAAAGTGAAAAAGTTTAAGGACTTTTTTACTATTTTAGTCAAATATTATTATAAATTATAATTTAATTAAATTTAAAAGTGATTTAAGGGCATTCATTAATAAAAGTTATTTGATAAATCTTTATTTAATTATGTATTTAGTATTTTAGTAATTTTGAATTTTGAACTTTTATAATTTCGTGTAGTGTTTAAACTTAAGATCAGGGATCAATTAGATTACATAAAATTTATCATCTACTTCTATTTATAGTATACTCAATTATTCACTAATGAATTTGACTTAATAATTGATTCATATTTCTCTTTATTTAAAAAGTTGGATTCAAATTATTTTAAATTCAAATAAAAAAGTATATTTAATTACTTATAATTGCAATTTCACTTTAGGAATGTTCTTAAAAATTAATAGACTAATTTTACAACAAATATAATAAAAATGAGACATTGAAGATGAAAAAAAAAAACTTAAATATAGAACTTTTAAATTGTTACATAAGGTGATTAAGAAAAATTAGATTCTAATCGAAATCAAGTTAGTTCATTTTATAATTTTGTGTTTATATTACTTTTTAATAAAATTAAAATTAAAAATGAGTAAACATTTTACATATACTCAATTTGAGTTATGAACTGTTTCAAATTTGAATTGATTAATTATATTATTTTTAGTTATACTTTTATGACACCAATAATAAATTTCAAAATAAAATTAAAACATAACATAATAAAAATTTAAATGCAAAAATTATGGAGATATTACTAATAATTCTAGAAGAAAATTCTTATGCTCAAATCTTGCGGTGATTAAAGAATATATATTCTTTTGATGCTACTAGATGGATTTCTTAAAAGAGAATGGAAATGTGATTATTGTGAACTTAATTTTTAAAGAAAAAAATTTGTTTATTTATTTTTTATAAATTTTATTTAGTAAATATTTTCTCATTACTTTTATCATATGTACATAACAAACGTTTACCAAAAATTATAGACTTAAAAAATTAATGTTAAGGCAAAGTTTATTAATTTCATTGTTGGAAGAATACTTTAAAAATTTTTAATCTTTTATTTACAATTGTACTTTGCTAACATGTATAATAATACATATATTAATCGTTTAATTAAATTATCAATAAAATTTATCTTAATATGTATAATTTTACCGTGAACTAAAAAATTTGAAGAATACTTTAAAAATATTAACTTAATATATATTGTATATATTTATTTAATTTAGTTTTGATACTTGCATTATCATAATAAATTAGGATTTTAATTTATAATTATTTGTTAAACTACGAATAGCAAATTAAAAATATTTACTAATTATTTTTCAAGTCATCTAAACTTAAAATTTTTTCTTACTTTCTTTCGTACTTTACAAATTATATCATTAAGTATATATTGTGGTTACTTTTTTTTTTAATATATGTAAATTAATGATAATATAACAATAAACAGTTAATAGCTTATTAATTAATCATTAAAAACATCAAAGTAATCAATATAACTTAATAGTACGT